CTAGTCTCTCTTAAATCAGTTCAAACAAAAATTCACGAACACTTCAAATTAATAGCCAGCAATGATTGACCAATGAAGACAGTGCACAGAAGATCGAAACTATGCTGGCAAAATTATAACACGAGACGAAGTGGAGAGCTGAACTCAAAAGGTAAGAATGATATCAATAGGCCAATAGGCACGCACGTCTACAAGATAGACCAACCCTACAATACGGAGACACCGGAGCATTCACTGTGTCTCTTCCCGGCATTTAACCAAATCGTAGCGCGGCACTTTGAAACTCAACAGCTTGGGTCACTAGGTCAGTTAGGAACTGTCATCCTAGCCTACCTGAAGGACTGAAGGACTGAAGGCTGGGCTGACGAGGAGGCGCAGTCTACGAGGGTGTAGGGCAAAAAGGAGCTCATCTTTGATTGGAGATAACCAGGGTAACTTCACCACTTTAACCTAACCTAACAATATATCGAAAAAAAAAGTTTCGAAAATGTCATTACTCCGCAATTACAGCACTTTTGTAAATCAGTTATTTTTTCCATTGGGGTCCCTTATTGTTTACATTATTGAAGGAATGGATCTGGCATCTCCGCTTAGGCTAACCCACCCCACAACATATGAAATAAAACGTGGAGGCGTGAAGAGAAAGATTTCGCGACGAGAGGCAGCGAGAGTCGACGACGCTACGCCAACAAAAACGATGATTTGTAATAGAGAACAACGTTATGAAAAAACAACTAAAGCTTAATGTAATTTTTATTTTATATTTATCTTAACCACTTGATCTATAATATTATAAAATACTAAAATAAAACTTAAAATTAGTGGGGCTTAATATTTAAAGAAGAAACGAATCCCACAGATATGGGGATCAACCAACGTAATAAGGTAACATTAATTACATGACGTAAATACAAATTTAAAACGACGGAAAACTAGAAAAGGTTATGAATTTTCTATTCGAGAAATTAAAAACGACGATGCCACAAACACAAACCTTATCTGCACGCATTCATTTTTAACGACACATGATTGTTTGTTAACGACGGGTAGAGAAGATGTGAAGAGGTATGACAAAAGCCAGTGTATTAACGATGTGTTCAAAATAGATACCTTTTTTTCACATAGCACAGTAGTTTAATATTATTTAATTATTTCTCAAACATGTCTCAACTTACTGAATTCGATTCAGTGGTCGGCATAATCGAAAACGATGCGTAATTCTGAATGAAAACTCCCTAATGATTCAGGATGGGGGCCTCTCCAATTCAGACCTGAATCCTAAAAGAATGATACTGAAGGTTTTGAACACTATTTTCAAGGGTTTCCAAATATCTGATAAACTCGAAACTTTGCATACTTCTGAAGGACAGATGACAATCCAATAATTTGATAAAAAATTTTCATTATCCTGATTAGGATCGTCAGGATTCTCCGTAAAGGAGTAAGAGAGACAGAGCTAGCGCGCGATCTGCGCATGCCTGCAGTTTCGGGTTTACTCTTTCGCTCGGGCAGTTGCCGGATACTCTTTCTCGTGAGATACTTTTTCACGGTGGTTGCATTTTCAGCTTGTTTGTTTAAACAGCATTACTTCACATCACTCGTGTGAAATAATGTTTAGATAATTAAGCTGTTTAAAGATAATATCATTGTGTAAATTTTGTACGATTGGTGTAAAGTGATATTGCATATTCAACTTATAATCTTAATGTAATATTTAATCGCACCAGAAATTAATTGAGACCATTTATTTTGAAAATTACCGATTGACGGAGTACCGATTAGCTGTAATTGAATTTTTAGCAGCAGTAAAATTTTTAAAAAGATTAAAAAAATAAATAATACTTAAAAAAAAACTAAAAAAAAACGCTTTTATAAATACCCGAACTAAAAGAAGAAAATAATTTATAATTACAAAAAAATTATTAAATTCAGAGCAATAGTATATAAGATCACTAAATTCAGAGTTAAAAGCGTGGGGTGCATCTATAATCAATGTTACAATTATTCTAAGGGCAACTTTCTGTAAGGGGAGGGTTATGAAAATATAGAAAAATCCTACAAATAACAGTTTCACTGTACAATGTCTCGCCAGTACATGTTTAACTATTGTTACAAACAATGATAAATGTATTCCTGTGAACATAAAATATAAAAGAAAATCTCAGACAGTAACAAAAAATTATTAGATTAACAAAAACAGTGCAGCTGTAGAATATCTCGTCACGTATGTATATATTTAAACGTTGTGCTTAGTGACAGTCTTATGTACACATATCAGTCAAATGACAAATTCACAGCAATAGTCGAACTGAATACATGTTAAAACAATGATCGCAGTTAAAACAGTGGATCGCAGCTTATTTCCTAATTTCTATACCCTTGTTGAGTATTATAGTTTTAGTCAGTAGTTTGCAACGCAGGGAAGGAGACATTTCCGACCCTATAAAGTATATATATATGTACGTATATACGTATGCATGTACATATGTACATACAAACATCAGCATCAACAACCGAGTCGATCAATACATGTCCGTCTGTCCGATTATATGAAAACTAGCTATCAGAATGAATCTTTAAAGATAGTCACACTCGTAAATACATATATACATACATATGTATGTATGCATGTACTTAAGTCAGAACGGGCTGGACCGAACGACTATGTCATATACAGTGACGCACTAAACTGTTGGCACAGTTGCAAATTTGAACTTTAAGTGATATTTCCAGGCGTATACATTATTTTATTGAATAAATTTTTTGTAATATAGTTAAATTAAATAATTATGTATAAAATGACTCTATTTTTTTTATTTTGTTTCATATATTTAAAACTATATAAACTTTAAAAGAAAATTACCATATTTCGTATTTGTATGTACATACATATGAAGCTGCCATAGGAACTAGGGAAATGTTTAGAAAAAAAAAATGTACACCAGGTCCATATTCCATGTGTACCATATTAAAAAAAAATTAAAACTTTCCCAGTTTTCTACAAATTTCGGATTATATACGATTATATACGGTATTATATACGATTCTAGAATTTTGTTAAAGTTAATAAATAAACCTGCAAGTATCTACAATTTTCGCCGTGCCGAAGTTTTTTTTTTCTCTTGTTGAATTTGAAATACGACAGCTCTCAGATGATTTTGCTACGCTGGCCTACCAACATTAAATTGAATCACATTTTTTTTACTTTCGCCTACACTTTTTCCGCTTGTCTGTTTCTTTTTATAAATACATACATACATACATACATAGATAGATATAGATTTACATATGTACATAAGCATGGACGGACATACAATGTATGTACATACATAAGCATTTATGTGTACGAAAAACCAAGTAAATACAAAATGCAATAAGAATACATGTACATATATACATACGTATTTATGTACATATATGAATAACATGCTAATGTACTTATAGAAAAAATGAATGTATGTACACGCATACATACATACATCGGATGAATGAAGACTTAAAGTCTTGGGACGCCCAGATTTAGGTGCGCTCTCCAAGCTTTCGACTCCGTCGTAGCGTTGCAGGATGCTCCTAATGGAAAATCAGCTTAATTCCATAATTTTGGCTATTTCGCCATATAATTTGACTTCATTGTGCAGATGAAGGACAATTTTTCTTTGAGCTACGTTGGTTTCTTATCGCTTATTCTCAATTTTCTTAAAATTTAGGCAAATGGCAGAAAAACTGTAGATAAATTTAACTTTTTTTAAAACTTTGTGACGCCATGTGCTTAAAAAAAGTCCCTTTTTACATTTGATAAAAAATAAGAACATAAAAGCCTTAAATCTAAAATAAATCAAGTAAAACTTATAGCTGTGCCAAGACTTTTGTGTCACGAAATATGGTAATTTTCTTTTAAAGTTTATATAGTTTTAAATATATGAAACAAAATAAAAAAAAAAATAGGGTCATTTTATACATAATTATTTAATTTAACTATATTAAAAAAAATTTATTCAATAAAATAATGTATACGCCTGGAAATATCACTGAAAGTTCAAATTTGCAACTGTGCTAACAGTTTAGTGCGTCACTGTATGTACATATTTATGTATACATATGTACATATATATGTACATTTGATTTAAAACTATGATAACAAACTTTTATGACACAAAATATAAACATACATATCTACGTACATACAAATGGTATATACATATGTATGTATGTACATAAGTGTGTATATATGTATGTAAATGCATATATACATTTATATGTATGTAAGCTTTTACTATTGTGAAACTGTATGAACTGGAGGTATGTACATATAAGTACGTATGTACATATGTATGTTTGAATGTATCTACAGGTTGAAACGTGATTCTTGCAAAACAAAATATGTATGTAAATATGTATGTATGCCTTGCATCTTAAACTGAATATACATATATTTTTAATATTAAAAAATAATAACTTAAAAAATTATTTTCCAATAATAAATAATTTGTGTTTTTGGCAATAATTTGACAAAATTTAAAAGTAAAATACATATATGACAGCATACGAATTGCAATGTTTTTGTTTTTGCTATTTTTACTATGTTTTAAGTTAAAATATTTAAGTTTTGTTTTTTATATTTCTAGATTAAAGTTATCCTAATAATATTATAAAAAATTTTTTTTTAAATTCTTGTATTTGTTAATAAATTTTCAGTTTAAACCCAAAATTGTGAGGGATTTTTCGTTTTGCAAAGAATTACTTGACAAACTGTATGTATATACCTACATATGTATGTACATACATACATATGTGTGTATGTTGAACAAATAAAATTACAAAAAGTTAAACTGCATACACGCGAGTAATGATGTTAAATTTATGTATATAAATCAATGTTTATAACAGCCGTACATATGCAGATTTGAAATTAGATTTATACAATTACATACATATTTAAGAAATTTTAATATCAAGTCTAGGCTGGTAAGAATTTGTTTAAAAACATGTCTTATATTTACTTTTAATTTTTAATAACACATTTGTTTTAGGCATACATAAGTATGAACTTGTATTTTGCAGTTCCAAAAAATAAACTTCTGTTTTTGTATATATGTATGTACATATCAATGTATGTATCTACACCAGAAAATAAGCGCACATTTTGAGCAATAGTCGAAAGCTGACTAAAGGAACTACAACTGACAACCAAGCTTTAAGCGAACGGTAGATGAATTTAAAGTTTGCCATGTTAGCTTTCAAAGCTTTGATGATTATTTGTTTTTGCCAGGGTAGGGTGCTATATATGTATGTATGTACATATTGACCGAAAATCTGTGCTTATACATATTTGCATGTACATATACATATGTATGTACTTTTGTATATTTCTTATCTAATGTCTTAAAAGAGAGTAAAAGCTTACATGTATGTATGTATTTGTATGCATGCTGCAGTACCACTTGTCATCAATAGGCCACTGTCATCAACATTCATCAACGCGCCGACTGCGACTTCTACCGAGGCGACGCTCTGCCGACTGCGACTAAGACCGAGTCGACGCTCTGCTGCTCTCTCTCTAGACGTCAGTTGTCGGCAGTACCATGACCGGCCGTTGATAAATTTGTTAATGAATTGTTGATTAAATGTTGATGAATTGTAAATGATTCATCGATGAATTGTTGAAGAATTATTAATGAATTGTTGATTAATCATCGATGAATTGTTGATGATTCATTGATTAATTTTTGATGAATTGTTGTTGATGACAGCCTAGGACATGCCCGTGTTTAATTCACCAATAATTTGTATGGCTATTAATCGATGAATCATCAACTACACCGCCTTGACTGTTGATGAATCGTTGATTAATTGCTGATGAATGCTACTACAGGGCTAATTTTTTTAAATTTATTTATTTATTTTTTTATTTTGGACGTTGATGCACTACGGTCAGTACATTCAAGTGGCCCGTATGACACCAGGCACGTTCCAGGCACAGAATACGAGGAAATTGACTACTGGCGTGCTGCCAGGTTGTTAGCTTGCATGTTTACTAAGTGTGTTAGTATTAAAAATTTTAAGGTTATCCCTAGCATCGTTCTACGATTGGCTAAGGACGGCAAGTTTATTAATAAGAGTCTACTAGAGTAGGAAGGTAATCTTTGGTTTGCATCCCAATTTAAACCGCGTAGAGCGAAAAGTAAAAAGTTCTTTTGAACCGAATCGATGCGTTTACTATGGATGCCGTACTGAGGGCTCTAAACGCAGCATCCATATTCTAAGATAGGACTAAAGAAGAACTAAAGAAGTATATAAGGATTTAGTAACATAGGGGTCATTGAATTCCTTCTAACAACGTTTAATAAAACCAAGCACACCCCTGGCTCTATTCACCATAGACGAAATATGATCAATAAAGTAAAGTTTTGGGTCCAAGCGGACGGCCAAATCATCAACAGAATTAATTCTTTAAAAAGAGCAGCGTGTAAGTAGCAAGCTTAGGAACAACACGAGAGAATGTCATTAGCTTGCATTTCGAGCCATTTATGCTTAATAAGTTGCCACGGCAGTTTTAAAATTATTGAGATCTGTTTGTAAATCCGACTGGCAGCCGACGTCATTGTATTGCACGCAAAGCTTGACGTCATCCGCGTACATAAGCACTCTGGAGTTCGTCAAGACTTTGGGCAGGTCATTTATGAATATTGTAAACAATAAGGGTCCCAAATGGCTTCCTTGCGGGACGCCAGATGTGACCCTTAGAACATTGGATAAATTATTCTTAAAAAGGACCTTTTGCGTCCTGCCATTCAAATAACATGATATCCAATTAAGAAGATCACTTGGGAAACCCATTAAATTGAGTTTTCTAACGAGGAGAGAATGGTTAACAGAGTCAAATGCTTTACTGAAATCAGTATAGATTACATCTGTCTGAAAATTATTATAGAAGCCCTTTATAATATAGGAAGAGAGCTTCAAAAGGATGATTTGTTGTTTTTGATCTTCGCTTAATAAAATCATGTTGACATGGAAAAATAACTGATCTACAAAGGTGCTGTAAGTGAGGGGTGATAATGTTTTCAATAAGTTTAGGGATGGCCGACAACTTAGAGATTCCTCTATAATTGCTGGCATCCAATTTGCTACCTTTTTTGTGGAGAGGAATAATAAAAGATTCCATCCAAATTATGGGAAAGTGGTAGGTTTCTAAGGACAAGGTAAACAATTTCAGAAGGGGAGAGCACAGGGCGTCGGCACAATACCTGAGCACACAGATAGAAATTCCGTCGGGACCTGGTGAATAAACTGGCTTGACACGATGAAAATAAAAAAGAAGAGAGCTTACGTTTAGGCTAGAACTGAAAATTAAGTTTGATTTGGGTATGTCGTAGGAATAAGTCAGGTGTAAATACGAAGAGTTTGAAAAAACTACGAAAATAGATCGGCTATTGCCTGATCATTATTTGCGGTAGTATTTTCAAATGAAAGCGAGGAAGGATTTGTTTTACGCTTACATTTAGTGTTAACGAAATTATAAAACTGTTTTGGGTTCTGTGAGAACTGGGCCCTACAACGAGATAAATAGTTTTTATAACGCTGGGCGTTCAGCACGGTAATAATTGACCGACCTGATAAATAAGATGAAAGGGCAGATTGAAACCGGTGAGCTTAAATTTAACATACAGTCTAGATTTTTTTCCTTAAGTTGGCTCAACTCGAGCTTGGCGGATAATATAACGGAACACATTCAGTAAAAAATGAATTCATGGCACTGTAAAAAATATCCACGGCAACTGCCATGTCAGTGCACATGTATAGATCGGACCAATTGAACTCATTTATAAAATAATTCAGCCGTTCAAAGTCCGTCTTGCGAAAACATAGGACTTTATTGGCTGGACGGTCAGAAATATTCTGTACGTCACAACCGATATCAAGGGTCAGATTAAAAGTTGGATGATTATGATCTTCGGGCTGCGTCAGAGGCGCCACCCTTGCTAAACTGACTCTCTCAGGATCAGAGACGAAGTAAAGATCGAGCAACCGCTGTAAGGAATTTCGAACATGGTTGACTTGAGACAGCGAAATGTTGAACAAGCTAGCGACAAAGTCATGTTGTGTAGGTGTATGGAGAGTATTGGTGGAATTATTTGAGCACCAAATAGCACCAGGGATATTAAAATCTCCTAGGACTACCAACTGGTCCCTATCCAAAAGTCTACTAGAAGCCAACTGAATAACGGAAATGTGATTCCAATAAATAGGAAGTTCCGACAATGGAGGTATGTAGGAACAGGTAATAAAAATGGAGCTACCTTTGATAGATAGCTTCACACAGAGGAATTCAACATCGTTGCATTCCTCGAAGGTTAATAATTCTGACGTCAGTGAGGAGTCTACCGCTATAAGAACTCCACCCCCGCATGCATTATATTTTTAGATCTTTACGCTCTCAACTTTGTGAGTACAGGGAGAGCACCATTGCCTTTTGAATAAAAAAATTAGCCTCATATTGCAGAACGAATGTATGGTCGTAAGGCATCTTGTAAACTGTATAGTCTTTGGCGGAACAATATTAAAAACAGGGGAATTATATGGAAAACAGTGGAATTATAGAGCTAACCGTGGAATTATATGGAAAAAGAATGGAAGTAAGTGTTTTATGTGAGGAAAAACTAAAAGTTTTAATACAATAAATCTTTAATAACATTAAAATCTGTTGAAAACTAAAAGGTTACAAATTTTTTTGTAAAAATTTTCCGATCGTTCCTATGGCAGCTATATGGTATAGTCGGCTGATCCGGCCCGTTCCGACTTATAAACGAAGGGAGTGTTCATACATATGTATGTATATACATATATGTATATAGAAGACTAACTGTAAAGTTTCATTGCGATAGCTTCAAAACGGAGAAAGTAGTTTGCGTAGAAACGGACAGACGGGCGCACAGACGGAAAGACAAACATGGCAAGATCGACTTGGCTGTTGATCTGATCAAGAATATAAATACTTTATATAGTCGGAGGTGACTCCTTTACTGAGTTGCAAACTTCTGCAAGGGTATAATTACGAACTAAATTATACAATTAACAGCGAATTATGCATATTTTTTAAGTGCAAAAAATTTTTTCGACTTAAAGTGGTGATGACATGTTGATGAATCGTTAAATAATTATTGATGACTCATTGATTGTTGATGAATCATTGATTAATTGTTGATAACTTTTGGTGATGAATCATTAATTAATTGTTGACGAATTATTGTTGTTCTTAAATTCATCAGTTATTTGTATGGACTTTCATCGGTGAATCATCAACAATCATTAACACCGCATTGATTGTTGATAAATCGTTAATGAATTACTAATGAATGGTACTGCAGGGTACATAAATATGTTCAATTGTACAGTATTTATTTTCACACCCTTTTTCTACATTACATATGTATGTATGTATGTTTATATTCACATAAATTAACATACATACATATTTAATTAAATTAAATTATTTTAATTAAAAATCCCTTCAGTGTCAATCTCGCGGATAAAGGCAAATAATTGCATGGGACCAAAAGAAATCTACGACGAATCACTTAGGAATTTCCACACAGCTCTACAGGGAATATTTATAAACAGCCCATCAGTAACAAAAAATCTTTTCCGTTCAAATACTTCAGGCATGTTTGAAAACAAAATAAAATTGCATCGGTTTCATTACCGAAACGACTTAGTAGGACTTTTTAGCATTTAAAGGTATTTCAAAATTAATCTCGCAGGATTTCGCAAAGAATCGCATGGGACCAAAAGAAATCTACGACGAATCGCTTAGGAATTTCCACACAAATCTACAAGGAATATTTATAAATAGTGCTTCAGGAACAAAAAACCTTTTCCGTCCAAATACTCCAGGTATGTTTGAAAACAAAATAAAATTGCATCGGTTTCATTACCGAAACGACTCAGTAGGACTTTTTAGCATTTAATGGTATTTCAAAATTAATTTTAATTTAATTTGTTTAAGATTTGTTAGAGAGGCTAAAATAAAGAAAACGCTTACGTTTCTTGAGTTGGTCTTTTTAAACTTAATTTACTTTATATAAGTCCAATCTTAGGTAGATACCAGAAGAATTGAATGTACAAATTATTTACTTTTCAAGTCCATAGCCGGTTAGCTACTGAATCAATTAGTTT